GGCTCAGCCACCCTCTCAGGGAGTCTAGGCTGAGCAGGCGCTGACATCGGTGAGGAAGCGCAGGGCTGGGGCCCAAGTCTCCCCTCGCTGTCAGTTCTTCCTCTTACTCGGACAACAGGTGTCTGTGAGACCAGTGAGCTCGTCGCTGCCCTGCCTCCAGAGGGGCTCTGGGAGTGGTCTGTGCCCTCGGAGCGCCACCTGGCCCTGAACTGGTCTCAGACAGAGTGTGCCTGGTCTCCTGCCCCCAGCGTCGGCAGAGGGCCTGGCACAGATTAGGTGCTCAGTCGGTGAGTGCTGGCCCGAGGGGAGCAACTGGGCAGGGCCCACAGGTGCCCGAGGGCACGCTCCAGTTTGTGGAAACGCCTAGTTGTACGGCCTCTGAGGACACGGCCACCACCCCAGCGGCTACTTCTGGTCCCCGTGCCCACGCCATCCAGCTGCAGCGTGGTGTCCTGAAAAAGGGCTCCAACAGACCCAGCCTGGATCCTGCCTCTGTCATACTTAGCCTTGGCTTTGGGGAAGTTAAAGGAGCCTGTTCCTCACCTGTGCATGAGAAGGCCGACAGACCCCTCAGGGGCTGGGTTGATTGGGCTAAGTGAACGAACACACGAGCCCGGGCTGGGGTCTGGATTTGGACTGCAGCCCTGTTGTGTGGCCTTGGTCCTGCTCCCTAGCCTCTCTGGTCTCAAGGTCTCCCCACGAGGGCTGGTGGGCCCTGGACCTGGCCAACCAGGACTGCTGCCCATCCTGCCACACAGGCCCTGGTGACCAGCCCTGGGCTCGTCACACCTCAGCAGGGGGCTCTCCCCCCGCTGTTCCCACCTCCTCCAAGCTGGAGCCTGGGACGGGCAGCCCCATTCCTCTGGACCTTGGATGTGTGTGGGACCCAGCCTTGTCCTCGCGTCTCTCCCAGACTGCAGCTCCTAACAGATGGGAGTTGGGGGCAAAAAAAAAAAAAGGTTAGGACCCATGGAGAGATAGTCTGCCCTTTCCAAAGTGTGTCTACTTCCTTTGTCAATTAATGTTCACTCATCACAAGCCCCGCAAGGTCAGCAGAGCAAGTATTTCCATTTCACAGGAGGTGAGGGAGGCCCAGGAGGGCCCTGAGACTGCCTGGTGGTGATGCCGCTAGTAACTGGTGGCACCCAGGCCTGCACCCCACACCCCGCCTCTCCGAGGGGCTGGTGGCTAGAGGACCCAGGTGGGGAGGGACGCTCAGGCCAGCTGCTCCAGAGTCAAAATCTGTGTGTTGAGTCTGACGCTGCTACCTGCTCCGGGATCTCTGCCCTCAAGGAGTTAGAATCTTGGGAAGAAAAGAAAGGCTGGGAAAAATCAGAGCGCAGGGTGGGGACATGGGAGGTCTGCAAGGGCTGGGGGCTGCGGGGAAGCTTTCTGCAGGAGAGGGCTCTAGAGATGGGCTGAAGGCTGCGGATTCTTGCGCGGCAAGTAAGAGTCTCACTTTAAATCCACCTGAACAGCAGAAAAAGGAAGAGACTGGTTCGTCCAGGTGTGCACACAGCACGTCGGGAAGGCCCTTCTCTGGCCTTTCACAGCAAACTCTCCTTGGGGGTGGCAGCTACCAACTCACGTTTTTAGGGCTCAGAAACCCCAGTGGCAGGAGAGAATACGTTAGTAGGCGGAAGAGAGTTCCAGGATGCAGTCAGGTTGGGACAACATAGGTGGTATGCCAGGCCTGGAGAGTGGAGACGGGGGCAGCCATCGCTCACAGCAGATGGGCCGGGTCTGACTGGGGACACATTGCACCCTGTGGACATTGGCCAGAAGAGGGTGGAGAGGAGATCAGCCTTCAGGAGCTGTGGGCAGAAGACAGGAGGTCTGGTGGACCCAGTGACCGTGCCAGGGACCTGGGACCTGACCCTGAAGGGACGGGGTGGGTAATAGTAACATGTGATCAAGGAAACTGCAGACTTGAATTTGAATCTGCTTCCCAGCTCTCGCCCTTTAAACATTCGGGCCTCAGTGTCTTTACCTGCAAAATGGGTGTAATAGCACCTACCTGGAGGGGTTGCTGTGGGGGTTAAGATGACACATGCCTGACATAGGGCAGTGGGTGGTGGTCAGCAAGGCACTTGTCCATGCCAGCGGATGCTCAGAGCACTTTCACTGACATCCTCTCACCCCTCCCAGCAGCCCTGAGAGTTCTTTGGGGGTGGGCAGAGGAGAGTTCAGCATGTTTCACATACTTGGCCCAAGTCATGAAGCTGGAAGGTGACAGAACCAAGACACATACCTGGCTCAAATTCTGAGCTGGCACCACGATGTCATGCTAGACGGATCAAGATGTTGAGTCGGTGCACGTCACCAGGGTCCCCTCATGGATTAAGATGCACCCTGCTTGGTTGTCCCTTCCACTGGAGTTCTCCAGAGTTGCCCCAGACAGACAGCAAACCTGCCTCGAGCCCACCATTGACATTCACCCCAAGCAGCCTCTTAGTGCCTTAGTCCAAGTGAGGCTCAGCTGAGCAAATGGCAAGTCCTCTCCTTGCTCTCTCTTGTACATTTCTAGGTTCCAGAAACACACACTCTCTCTCTCTTTTTTAAGATTCTATTTATTTATATTTAGACAGAGGGGGAGAAACATCAATGTGTGGTTGCCTCTTGCATGCCCCCTACTGGGGACCTGGCCCACAACCCAGGCATGTGCCCTGACTGGCAATCGAACCAGCCATACATTGGTTTGTAGGACAGCACTGGACTCACCGAACCACACCAGCTAGGGCCAGAAACACTCTTTTTTTCCCCCTGTTTTTTCCTACCTGTTCCAGACTTGGTCAGGTAGAATCACTGTCCACATTCAGCACACCTTGGCCTTGTCAGGCCCACCCTTTCCTGGAAACACCTATAATATGTCCCTTTGGGCCCAGAATAGAGCTGTACCCAGCATCCAAAAGGAAGATTTCCCAAGGTCCAAGTTTTCCATGGTATGAAGAGGCCCCTTCTCATTGCCACCCAGAAGTGAGATATTCTCTCTGGCTGCAGGAATGTTCTAGCTTCATCTATCTGTTCATCTTCCAGGCTATCTCAGCTAGGATCAGGCTTGGCTTTGAATAAAAGATCCCACTTAACAAAATCAAAAGGTGTGTCACTCTCAAAAGTCCTGAGCAGGCAGTCCAGAGCTGGTATGATTTTATGCAGTCATCAGAGACCTAGGCTCCTTCAAACTCATTGCTCCACCATCTTGTCCTCATGGTCCAACATGGCAGCCAGAGTTCCAGCCATCACAGCTGCATTCCAGGTCACAAGATGGAGAAAGAGTAAAGAAAAAGGGTCAAATGATACATACCAGTTTACTTTTCAGAAAGATTCCTAGAAATTGGCACATGACACTTTTACTCGATTATATCTAGCTGTAAGAAAGACTGGGATAGTATTAATTCCAGGTAGCCAAGTTCCCGGATAAAAATTAGGGGCTTGTGATAGAAGAAAGGGGATGATGGACATTGGGGGTAACTATCTCTGACACCCGATCTATGCAATAAATATTTATTGGGTATTCTGGCCCTTGCCCGTGTTATCTTATTTACAATATGATTAATATTGCAGCACCTCATGAGCACAAAAGGCGCCTGGCACACAGTAGGTGTGTGATGAGTGGTGGCCATCCCTTTTACTGACTGTGTCAGCGCGCTGATATAAGCACAAGCTTCTGTGGGAATGGAGAGGAGGACTGCATGCCCCCGCCTCCCAGGGCGCAGAGCATAGAAAAACACCCTGGAGGAAGTCCTGCCTTTTCATTGACCCTGGAGAGCTGGGGTGGCCAACCGCAGCCGGTTTAGGTCTTTGTGTTGCCTCCTCCATCCCATCCTACCGGCCTTCTTGGGAACTCTGATACCTCATCCTCACCAAGGTGCTGGTGGTAGTAACAGCCAAGCACAGGCTTCCCCAGGTGAAAAGTGCAACTATGTGTCGGAGAATTATGGCATCAGTTAAGTAGTGGCGGGGGTGGGGTAGGGGCTAATTCCGAAGGCCTTGGAATCTTCCTGAAGCCCTAGAATACTCACACTCTTGGCAGTCACACAATCTCTTTTGAAATTAGAAAATAACAATGAATAGTATGTAAAATGGTCTCGTGTGACAGAATGGAGGTAGTTGGTGGCCTTCCAAGGTGCTCCAGAGAGAGGAGCCCAGACCTGCTCTCCGAAGACATCCCTCAACCCACTGGGCGGGATGAGGGGGCAGGTGAGAGCTGGACCGCGTGGCCCTCCTTGGACTCGTAAAGGCGGAGGGCCTGGGCATGGGTGTCCGGACGTGGGTGTGCACGTAATCTCCCCTCCCATCCTCCATCCTTCAGGGACTGTGGGAGAGCAAGCTGTTGTTGGCTGACCCCAAGCGAGGCCTGGGAAAACGAGCTACCAGTCAGTCCTTCTTCCTGAGCACCCTGGGTGCCGGGCATGTGTCCATGGGGCACAAGGGCCACAGTTCCCGCACAGGGTAGGTGGGCCCGTGAGCCTCAGGTCTCTTTACTCAGGGTTCTCTGAAATTCCCTCCAACCCTGGACTGGGGAGCCAGGTAGCACTTCCTCCAGGAAGCCTTCTCTGATTTCTCTTGTCTCAGGGCTCCCACAGCCCTCCACTGGGGCTCTGAATTTCCACTGCTGCTTGCTTGTCTTTCCCCCAACCTCGACTGATTCCTTTTAGTGCTCAACCCAGTTCCTTCTCGATATATATCTTGTGCCTCACACATAACACAAGCGCAGTAGCTGTGCATCAAATAATGAAAGGAAGTGAGAGAGTGAATGAATGAATGCGTGACTGAGTTCCCCGGTTGCCAGGGTATAGATTCCCCAGTGAGGAGGGAAAGGCCCTCAAGGGTTAACCAAGAGCCCGCCTGTGGTCTGAGGTAAGCAGGGAGCGTATTTGTTCAGGTAAATAAGGAAGGATTACTTATAATGGGAAATCAGGCCCAGCCAACTCTTCATCCCTGCCTGACTTCCTCCCAGCACATTCCTGTACTCCACCTGCGTCCACATTGCCCCGAAGACGCAGACCCGGTGCTCAGAGCCCACCGTGGCCCCACCGTAAGCCGCTCAAGCTGGGTCTTGTCACGGTGATAGCAGGTGGCCCTGGGCTGGGGGCTGGGGGCTCCCTACAGAGCAGGAGGCCTGAGACCTCAGAGACCACCCGAGTGCTGCCTCTGCCGCCAGCCTTGCTGGTCCGTGGTCCCACTGGCTCCCCCGATGCCTGGCTGAGACCCAGCAGTGGCCCGAGCTGTCTCTGCCACCTCCTGGCCCCCAAGGTTGCCACTGCAGCAGGCAACGACTTGGGCACCAGGCAGCTAACAGGTAAGCCCAGTGGGCGCTACTGAATACCCTGCCAGCTGTGGGGAGGTGAGTGACTGGGAGGACTTGGAGATGCACTTTGTAAGCTCAGAACAGATCTTCCAGGCACCAGTGACCTTGCCATCTTGGTCCTGCCCCCTCAGAACCCCCTGTGTCTCTGCACGCTGCCCAGTCTCCCTCCCCGTGCCGACCCCAGAGCCTGGGTGAGTCCCTTGGCCGGGTGAGGCCCGGGCACCCCGCGTCTGTGACGTTCCCATCTGGGCTTGCCATGGAGCCCACCTGCCCACCTGAGGGTGACAGCTCTGGACAGGCAGAAACTCGGCCCTGAGAGCTGGCCTTTCTGCTCGGCTAGCAAAACACAGCAGCCTTTCTGCTGCCACTGGCCGGGGCTGCTCGGCCAAGAGCAGGGTCTCTCCGGGGCCAGGCCATAAATGGGCAGGGGCTTGCTGAGGCTGGAAGGAGGCTCAGGGACAGGGTCCAGGCCGGAGCTGTAGGGATAGGTCCAGAGCCCAGGGGCCGGGCAGGGCAGTGGCGGGCACAGGGACCAGGCGGCTGGGGAGCTGTGGGCAAACAGCTGGCTGCGCGGGCTTCCAGGGGAGCAGAGGGCCTGTGGGCCCAGTCCGGGAACATCAGGAAGGAAGGGAGAGTCCTTGAAGGTGCTCATCTCTAAGATTTGCCGGCTGCCTTCCAGGGAGAGGAAAGTAGATGGTGGGGATGGCAGGGAGGAAAGCTGAGGGTCTGGATGGCGGGGTCTCCACTGAGGCCTGATGAGGTGCGTGCATGTGTGTGCATATATCTGTGATTGTGCATGCATGCACGTGTGTGCACATGCGTGTGTACATGTGTCTGCCTGTGCCTGTTAGGGAGTGGGCAGGCCCACCAAACCAGCCCCAGATTCCCTCACCTCACATGCCAACTGGGCCCACCCAGCAGTCCATACCCGGGTCATAAGCCCCAAGGGCCTGTCCCCTCCATGGAGGTCACGGCCTTTCTCTTCCTCCTTGTCCAGGGCTGGGACTTGGCCTCATTTCCTGCCCCCACCCCCCCAATAAACAGGTTCACAGAACCCCCAATAAAGCAGCATCTCCCCAGCACCAGCTGCTCAGCTGAGTAACAAAGTAAACAGGCACTCAGCTCTGAGGTGGCAGGCAGGGACGGGCTGGAGATGCCCCATAAGACAGGCGGCCCCAGACGATGGCCAAGCCCAGCAGGGACAGTCTTCCCTGTCCCCCGACCACGTGGGGGCGGGATCAGAGCCAGGAACTCCCCATGTGGAGTCTCACCACCCTAAATACTCAGAAATTTGGGGAGCGGGTACATCCTCAGGGCTCCTGGGGACGTTGGGGTGCGGAGGAGGTGGTGTCTCACTGGACAGGGGACCACCCTCCCTTTTGAGAGCTTGAAAGTAATTGAACAAGTGATTCCTCTGCTCCAGGCAGACGGGGACCCAGAGCTGACATGCTTACTGTGTTCCCAATTAGAACACACTTTAGCAGTTATGATGCCACTGGTTTTCACAAGGACCCTCTGAAGCAGATAGTTGCTCTGTCAACCAAGCCTGAGGGAACAGGTGGCTCACAGTAGGTGCTCAATCAATGCTCAGAAATTGTGACCCAGGCAGCAAGTAGAAGAACCTAGGAGAACCCGCTATTTACCACTGAGGTCATTGCAGATATAAAATTAATAGCCCTGAAACAATTAGTTTATTTTCATGCTGAACGACTTGGTGCAGCATGAGTGTGACCTGGGAGGCCAGTTCAGGCTGACCTGGGGACACAGACCCTCTGGGTGGAGGGCAAGAAGGAGTTATGGCCCAGGGTGTGTGACTCTGAGCAAGCCCTGAACTTGCCTTTTGGTGAGAAAGTTAGGCAGGTGGTTTCGTCTGTTAAAGGAGGCTTCACAGAGGCGGCAACTGGGAGCTGGGTTTCGAAGGCTGTGTAGGAGTTGGTGGAGGCTGGCTGGATCTGCCAGCTTTGCAAGACTTGTGTGCCTTCCCAGGCTTGTCTCCCAGGCTGAGGTCAGGGGAGGCTGGAGGCTCTGGCTCTGGTTCCTCCCAGAGGTTGGGGATGGGTGGCTGAGGCCAACAGCTGCTCCGCACTGGGCCAGAGAACAAGGTGACCTCAGGGCAAGGCTCAGGCTTCCCTCACTGCCATCCATCCTCAACTCCCTCTCAGACTCCGCCCTTAAGCCCTGCCCTTCCACCCACGTTGCCATCCGGTTTTTCCTTTCTCCTCCTCATTCTGCACCCCGTTCCCTTTTCTTTCCTTCTTCTCCCGCCCCATCCCCTCACCCGCTCCCAGGTGCCATCTCCATGTACACTCCGCCCATCGAACTCACAAGGGATTTTCACACTCCTTCTCCCTCAGTCTTCGCAGCCCTTTAAGCCATGGTATTGACGTGCATTTGACAAGACAACTGAGTCTCCAAGGAAGCTGAGCCGCTTGCCCGAGTCCCAGAGCTAAAGAGTTGGGGCTCGAACCTGGTCTGGGACCTCCTTCCACCCCATCCCATCCCATGCCCCACCCTGCGCCCCCAGCCAGGCAAGTGGTCTGTCAAGTGGAGCAACTCTTCCCAAAGCAAACTTTGCACAAGCTGAGTTGCCCTGGGCTCTTCCTGACATTTAATGCCTGGCTCCTTCCCCTGCCTGGTTTGCATGTTCCCAGCCCAGGAGGTGCCCCTGCCAGATTCTCCTCTCCCCTCTCAGCAGTGGAGCGGGGCCTCCAGACGAGGGGAGAATGAGTGTCCTTTTCCCTCCAACCACTCCTCCCATCTGGAGCCTAGTGTGACCCTGCTGGTGGACAGAAGGACCGGTGACCACCCAGGACCATAGAAAGGGCACCCCCAGAATGGAGGAGCCCTTCCTTCTCCCTCCAGCCCCCAGACAGAGGCTAAAGGTCTGGGGGTAGCTGCCCAGGGTCCCAATAAACCATTGATAATTCACCCCCCCCCACACACACACACCATATAAGCCTTTTCCGGAAGCAATTTCTGTTCTTAGTCTGTCAAGACAGTTCTTCTGGACTTTCTATCATTTTCTCAGTGTTGGAGCACCTTCACGCTGTCCTAAAACCTCCTTTCTAAGCCCCGAGGTGTGCTCCCAGGCCCTCAGACTGGGGCTCAGAGTGCCGTCCCCCAGCCCCACCAGCGTGGCACGCACTCCCCCGTGGTTTGCAGAGCACCCGCCCCATCCAGCAGGGCGCTGGGCCTGGAGGAGGCTGCGGAGACACGAGAACGGAGACGAGGGGAGCCTGCTGGGAGGCTGACCTGACTGCTCACAGCACTGTTCTGCCTTGCCCTGCCAAACCCCAGGGCACGCTGTCTGCACGAGTCCCTATTTTACCCCCTGGGGCCCAGAGGATCCATTAAGGGCCCACAGACAGAAGCAGGTGAAACCCCGTGTTCTCACATTGCAGAGCGTGGGGAAGCAGACGCCCACGAAACTTCAAAGCCTGTTGGGCACCGGGTGTCAGGGGTACAGATGAGGTGCTGGAGGAGGAGGGAAGAGAAGGGGCCGCAGAAGAGTGTTTGTGGAGACTACGCTGGAGAGAGCAGGGCCGCCCCGTCAGCCACTGCGTGGCGACCAAGGGTGGGACAGGCGGATGGCTGGGGGCCACGGTCCAGGTGAGGCAAAGGGACTTGACCGAGCGCTGAAACATGAAATACACTCACACACAGTATGTGCTCAGCCAGAGCTGAACGAAGAAGTGATTTGCAGTATCTGGAAAGTGGAAATCTGGCAGGATTTGTATTTGACATGACAGAACGTTGGGGTTCTGGTCGGACCTGTGCCTTACTTGGTCCCTGGCCCGGGCTTGTCTGGGCTGGGTGGGAGCTGGGCCTGACGGGCCATGTGTGAGGGGAGGCACAGCTGCCTGGGTGGCCCTCCTTGCTCAGGAAGGGTGGGCCAAGTCTTCCACGGGCTCTGGATACCGAGTCCAGAGGATGGGTGCAGGGAGGAGGCGCAGCCACCCAAACAGGGTGGAGCTCAGCTGTGAGTTCCAATCCCTACTCAGTCCCCATGGCCAGGCAACGCACAGCAGCCACGGCACCCTTGTCTGTCCAGTGGGAATAACACTGGGGAGAGCTGGCAGAGCCCGGTGAAAGTTCGTCTAGCTGGCCCTCACCTCGACCCAGAGGGGCTGGAAGTGACGTCTGAGGCAGCAGGAGTGAACGGGATACAGAGCTGGTCTGACCGTGCCCGCGGCTCCTGGCCGCCCATGGGAACAGCGGTCCGGAGCAGACACCCTCGATATTTCCCCGACCCTTTTGTTTCCTGTGTCCCGTCCTCCTGCCACATAGCCCTGCCCCCCAAGCCCCTACCCACCCTCTGCTTCCTCCATGGCCTCACCCCAGCCCCTGAGGCTCCCACACACCCCAGCTTTGGACCCCCTGGCTGGCTCCTCAAGTTGAACCTTCCAGAGAACAGGGCTCCTGAGTAAGTTAGGCCAGTGGTCTGGCTGATTCTGGAATCTGAGGAGGTGGGGATAGCCACTGGGCCGAGAAGAAACCTACCTCCTTGAGTCTCAAGCTGAGCCCAAGGCAGGCAAGCCCTCCCAGGACCCACCTCCCTTCTCTTGCCCACGGAGACTCCAGTGGCAGCAGGTGTTTGGGGACAACCACAGCTGGTGCTTGAGAGGCCAGAGCTGCCTGGGGGTGGGGGCGGGGCACAGGGGGCATCAGGGACCCCTTCCTGGCTAAGAGGGTGGTAAGTCCACTGGAGAAAAGCCAGCACTCTGGGTCAGGAAGGGTGGTCAGTAAGGAGAAGGCCGGGCAATTTTCTTGAGTCAAGCTAGTTTGAAGAGCAGTTTCAAAAGGGCAAGGGAGCTGGGGTTCCATGGAAGGGCCAGCGCTGTCCAGGGAGAATTGAAGGGGCAGGGATGAGCAGCAGGGTGAGCAGGGAAGGTCTGCAGGAGGGGGAGTCTGGGTCCAGCTGGGGAGGTTCAGTGGGTCATCAGTACTGGCCCCAGACTTCTGTGACCTGGCCAGGCTTCTCTCCAAGGTGCTGACCAGCAGGCTCGGGGGTAGGCCCATGTGGCCCCTGCTCACTCTGCGTGGCTCCCTGCCAGGCCCCAGTCGCACCTCGGCAGCCCCTGACCCACGAGAGGGGGTCCTCTGGGTGGAGAGAGGGAGGGGCTCCAGTGGGAAAGCCTGAGAGGTCCGCTCCAGTTGACGTGAGGTGCACGCAGGGCCGAGTGGTGGCTCTGTGACCCCCCCGCCCCACCCACAGTCCCTCAGGGCTCTTCTCATGGGGGTCTGCAACCAGGGTCCTGGGCTCTGGGCAGATGGAGGTTGGGTCTCAGGGCTGAAGTGGGGACTTGGGCACATTAACTCCACCTACAACCCCCCGGGGTAAAGATCTGGGAGCCTGGGCTGCGCAGAATGTGGGAGACAGGCTCCAGCCCCGTGACTGCCCAGGGCTCTGGGGCTACAGTTTCCGGAGCTATCAGGGGATCTTTTTCAGATGCCGGGTGGGGATGGGAGTGAGAACCCTGGAGGCAGGGGAGTTGCAGGGGCACATTTCTGTCCCCAAGGGTGACAGAGGCCCAGGCAGCGGCAGGGAACAGCTGCTGCTATAAATCTGTGACTTTGGGTCCCTCCGCCTTTCCCCCCTGATCTGTCTTCCTGGGGGGCAGGAGGTGCTGAGAGAACGGGCCAGAAGGGCCTAATCCCTCTGACCACTGCCCCAGGGTCTGGCCTTGTCTCTGAGCCTTGACTTCTACCAGCTGTTACCAAAGTTTCTTTGTCTGGAGTCAGAGCCAAAGCTACTTGGGTAGAAGGAGCCAAGACACCCTGAGCCTTAATCCAGACATGTGGCTTAATCAAGAAAAGATCAGCTCAAGGTTGGGGAGCTGGAGGCATCTCTCAGGAGACTCGCAGCCCCTCGGGCCCAGCCAGCAGAGGCTGTCGGGAGGGCGGGGTCTGCCGATCGAGGGCCTGGGCCTGGCAAACAACCGGCCTGTCCCAGGACGCCAGGCCCACGGAGCAGCAGCCTGAGAGTCCGCAGGCCTCCAGTCTGGGCCCAGCCCTGCGGAGTGCCTGTGGGCAGGGCCCGCCGCTCTGAGCATCACTTTTCTCAGTACACGTGTGTCCTCAGGGGCGAACAGTCACTTGTGAATGTAATTAGGGATGACTTGTGTGGCACAAATGGGGAGAGCTGGGAAATCAGACAAGGGAGCTGTGGGGGAGGGCTTCCTGGGGGAGGAGGGCTTTGGGCTAAACTGTGATGAGAAGGAAGTGGCATCTCGGGCAGGGGGACAGCAACACAAGAGAAAATAGCCACATCTTGGGTATAGCACAGGGGACAGGGAGAGATGTTCTCATAAGAAGCTGGCTATGAAGGTCGAGCCCCGGTTCTAATCCAGACCCTGCCGCTAACCAGCAAATGAGTCCCTCCCCACTCTGGGCCTTGCTGTTCCCTTCTGTAATACAGTCACATCATACGTGGGTCCTTCTAGCTCTGACTGTCTGGGCTGGGTCAGAGGCGGGCTCGGAGGTGAGCTCAGAGGTGCGCTCAGAGGTGCGCGCCGGCCGTTGGGATCAGGCGGGAAGGCAGTGGGGAGCCATGGAGGTTTCTGAGTACAGAGGTGCCTGATGAAAGGCTGACGGAGGGACATGAGCTTGACCGTGGGGTGGAATGAGAACTCAGGAGGTGGGCAGGAGCCTGGGAAGATGGAACTGGCCGGAGCAGAGGCCTCAGAGGGAAGGTGGTGCAATTAGCAGAGCCCACACTTGGCCAGCTGGGGGCCTTGGCCACGCTGCAGAACCCTCTGAGCCTCGCTGTCCACGTCCACAAAACTCTGCGTCACCCAGGCTGCGAGCAGTAAAAGCGGAGACGTGCTCGAACACTGTGGGCATCTGAAGCGCACACTGCAGTTCTCTCTTCCCAGGGAGTCTGGCCCCAGAGCCTGGAGGACGGGCCAGAACTGTGGCCTGCGCACAGCAGCTCCTGGCCCCTGACCAGTAAACCAAGGTGCCCCCAGACCTGGGTGCTGGGGTCAGACATTCCCCACCACCCCTCGCCTGAGAATGACCAGGTCTTCTGGCCACACAGTTAATCACGAAAAGACACAACTGTGCTTTGTGTGTCTCCTGCTTTCAAAGTTTCTTAATAGTGAGCATGTTTCTCCAGGAAGGTGCTGAGCTGGGACAAAGCCTTGATTGAAAGCAGGCTCCTGGGCATCTAGGAGTAAGGTGATGGGGAGCTGGAGTGCAGGGTGTGCAGGGGAAGGCGGGAGCTCTCTGCTGGTGAGGGAACCCTGGGCCAGGAGCCGAAAGACCTGGAGCCCAGGCCGTCGCTGCACCTTCCCTGCCCCATCCAGGAAAGGGGGCAGAGGAGAAGGCCTGTGCTGCCTCTCCCGGTGCGGGCGGGGCAGGGCGGGGGAGGAGAGAGCTACGCAGCTCATTGACCAATGTGTCATCACGTCCCCGCCTAGCAAACACTGCCACCTGCCCTGCCCATTCATCCTCACTGACCCCTCATGCCACTGGGCCCCGAAACATAGCAGCTCCCTTCCATCCCCCCTGCAGCTGAGGCCGAGCGAACAGGAGGCCACGGGGGAGGCCAGTGCTCCTGCCTCCTGGACAAGCTTCCGTCTCCCTGGCATACGGCCCAGGGTGTTGGCAGTAACTGTCCTAACGTGGCAGACGGGAGCGTTCTGGGGATGCGGATGGGGCGGGCAGCAGGCCAGGGGTGATGTGGGAGGGGTGGGGGCGGAGGGGGTCTCTCCAGGGGTGGGGTCACCAAGGGGCAGGGTGCGGGCGTAGGCCGGGTGGGGACCTGGGGGCAGAACCGGCTGTTGGCGCTGCCTGGGTAAATAATGAGGGCCCACAGCACACACGTGTGTTTGCACAGAAGGGCTTGAAATGGTTCCAGGCCTGCCCTCTGTCCCCCACCCCCCGCCCCCTTGTCCCTGCCTACCCCATCCCACCCCACCCTGACCTTTCCTTCCTTGTCACCTAAAGGAGCTCTTGAAAGAAAGAGTCGAAGTCAAAGGGAACACCCTTCTCTCTTGCTGGCGCTCTCTCCGCTGCGGTGAATTGCAGGGCTGCCAAGTGCGGTTGGGAAGGTGGGCAGTGTGCAAGGGGGGCAGGAGGGAGCTCTGTCCTGGGGCGCCGTGCAGCAGGCTCTGCTCTCCAGAGAGAAAGGACACCATCTCCTCAGTTGAACAAAGTTGTGGAACGGGCTAGCTGCAGCCCGGGAGAAGCCAGAGGTATTTTCCAAGTTGGGTTCTTTTGCTGTCACACAGGCAGGGCAGGGCAGTCCCATGGCGAAACTGGAGCTGGCCCTGGCAGCTCCCGCCCTGTCCCAGGGGGCACGATGAACTCCCCCGCCAGGCAAATCCGCAGTCCCCTGACTACAGCCCCCCCCTTACTGACCAGACACACCTTTAGCACAGAGTCTGAGTCTCCACCGTGAACACGGGTCAGGACCTCCCCCAGTGCCTACGGCGGGGCACTGCTGGGCCTCCCCCCACCCCTCCCTCCACCCCACTTGGTTCAGGGCTCTGGGGCAGGCCTGAGAATTCGAATTCCTAACCAGTTTCCAGCTGAGCTGATGCTGCCGGTCCAGCACCACTTTCTGAGAACCTCTGCTTTCAGTATAAATGCCCCTGAGGAAGGACGCGTTAGCTTGCCCCGGACCGATCTCCATGCTCCTCGCCTCCCTTCTGAATGGCTCCCTGTGTTCTTGGGGACGTGTATTTGTTGGTAACCTTCCGCCTCTGCTCTGATTCACTCTTGAGATGGGGCCTGCACATGATGGAAATATCCCAGATACCCTGCTGCTTGGTCTACGGCCCTCTCTCCGGTGCCCCTGTCACCCAAACGACATACTCCAGTAGGGGCGGGCTCAGAGAAAAAGCCCCTGGCGCAGCACAGCCTGGGTGACTGATGGGGAGGGAAGCCTCCAGTTGCCACCCCTGGGGGCCCTGGGGCCTCAGAGAGGAGTGGGTGTTCGGGCCGCTGAGGGCCTCCGCTGTTCCGGCTCCTGGGCCTTCTCACCAGCCCCTGCTGGCCTGGGACAGGGGGCCTGTGGGTCAGCACGTGAGCACCGCCTCCTGGGCCTGGGAGTGGGGAGGGCCCCAGGGCAGCGCCTCTCAGGGGAGGTCAAGGTAGGGTGGGTTCCCCCGGGAGTGGGGGCAAAGCCGAGCCGCCTGTGCTTTGTTGCTTGTTGACCACTTCATTAGCCTTATGCGGGAGCCCCCAAATGGCCCTGTGGGAGGGGATGGGGGCCCCTGCCCAACTTGTGAGGTGCTTTACCCCCCACTATACCCCTCACTTGCTTCTCTCCTTCCTTCACCTGGTTGATTAAGGTGATGGTGACTCTGTCCCTCCCCCACTTCCTTTAGAGGCAGAATAAATAAAGCTTTGCTACAGGAAGAAAGATTTGGGATAGCTCTCAGAAGGAACTTCCTCCGCAGGACAGTGGACTGGGATCTGGGTATGGGCTGGCTAAGGAACAGAGGACTAGACACGAAAGGCACCTTTTCTAGGCCTCAGTTTACTCATCTGTCAAATGGGACTAATCATGCCTTCCACTGTGAGGACTGACGGAGGTCAGGAACCTCAGGAAGTTGTTTTAAGCACACTACACACACAAAAATGTGCTGCTGCCAGCCAAGCTGGCCTCCCTGAGAATGAGAAGATGTCCCTTTACAATCCTACCCCACCTCCCACCCCCATGTCTTTCCCAGCCCTGTCCCACCTGCCCAGTGACCTGGATCCCCAGCTCTCTCCCGGGCCCAGCCACTGCCCACTGGGCCCTCAGTGGCCACCATGGGGATGGGGAAGCAGCCAGACCTGACTCCTTCCTCTCTTGTTTCTGCAGACACGGAGGCTGGCCTGAGCAGCAGCGGCATGGGCAGCGCCAGCCCCAGCCTGAGCAGCCTGCCCCCCAGCCGCCTCCCGCTGTCCCCCAACACTGTGTTTCGGACGGGCCCAGAGAAGGTGGCAGCCAGCGTGGTCAGGCCCGAGAGGCAGGACTGGAGCCCCAGCCCGCCTGCCACACTCGAACAGGGTCTGTCTGCCTTCTACCTCTCCTACTTGGACATGCTGTACCCCGAGGACAGCAACTGGGCTGCCAAGGGTCCCGGGGTCAGCACTCAGGATAAGCCACCTGAGGAGCCTGAGCAGTGCCCAGTCATCGACAGCCAAGCCGCGGGGGGCAGCCTGGACTTGGTTCCTGGCGGGCTGGCCCTGGAGGAGCACTCACTGGAGCAGGTGCAGTCCATGGTGGTGGGCGAGGTGCTCAAGGACATTGAGACAGCCTGCAAGTTGCTCAACATCACTGCAGGTGAGTCCCTCCACACATGCACCTCTGCAAGGTGGGGACGGGCCAGGCTGAGGTCGCTGGGGGGGGGGGGCACAGGGACGTGGCCTGCTGTGCTCTGGCCGGCCCTGCCCAGCCTCAGGCAGCCCCAGGAATGCTGATGCTTCTCCACACATGGGCACACAGCTGGGAGCCGAGGCCGGGAAGTTCTGACCCTCTGTACGCCCCACCTGCACCGTCCAAGTCCCTGCTGGATGAAATGAATTCGAGCTTGACACCACGGGGCCACCACCTCCCACCTCCTCTCAGACTCCTCTCCCCTCCCCCACAGCTGCACCTGCCTCCTTGCTGCATATTTTATTTATTTATCTGTTCATTTTCTGTCTTCCCCCACTGGAATATTACACGCAGAGGACACCATTTTCATTTGTTTTGTTCACGGTTACATCCCCAGCTCCTAGGATGGCACCTTGTGCTCAACAAACAGTAACTTAATATGCCAGGGCCTGTTCTGGCACTGGGGAGCTGGGTGGTGAAAAATCTTCATTTACAAAGGTGACATCAGAGTGAAGAAAACAGATCATAGGTAAAGTGAAGGGACATCAGGAGGCTGGGCATGAAGGTGTGTGCCAGGGCCTGTGGTTATGGAGCCGCTGCTGCGGGCCGAGGGGCTGCCGGGTCTCCAGCCCTGTCCCTCCACCGCCTCTGCAGCTCTGGGCGGGCCTGACCCGTCTCCTGGGTCCCTGCGCCCTGGCAGTCAAGCATTTCACTCTGCCGCTTTCACACAGATCTTCAGGCAGCCCTCAGGCCCAGCCCCGCTCCTAGCAGACACCTTGGCCGCGCCCCCGACCCCCACTCGCACGGCCTTAAGGTAGCTCCTGCCAAATGCCCCAGCTCTCCAGTTGCCCAATGCTCAGGCCGGCACCCCTAACCCCAGGGAGGTCTCCCATGGTACCTTCACTCCCACACCGGGTTGGGGAGGGAGGGGCCTGTCCTCTGGACAATGGGGACAGAAACAAATTGATTTGACCCTAGAGAGGAAAATGGGTTTATTAAGTGGAGCGGCCCAGTCTTCAGGTCACGCTGCTGGGGAACCAGTTTAGACCAGTGCTCACTTGGAACCCCATTGTGACTTCACCCCCCCCCATCCTCGTCTCCACCCATGAGCTCTGCCAGGCTCACCCCAGAGCAGCTCCTCGAGGAGAACATCTAAGACATGGCCAGTGACTCCCCTCCTCCCTCTGAGGCCTGTGGTCGCCCCTGACCACGGTGAGACATGCTACTCATTTATCTGTTCATTCAATGCATGTGCAGTGAGCAGCTACTATTCACCCAGCCCTGAGTTAGGTGCTGGACAAGAGATGGAACTCTCATTGCCTCAGTTTTCTCATCTGTAAAATATGGTAGGGGGAGAAGGGGTTTGGGTTTATAGGGTTAATTCTTGGTTGGATTTTTCCGCATTTCCTTGAGGGCCTTTGGGAAGGCAAGAGGCAGCTGGAAGAGAAGTTTATGAGTTTCTGGTCTAATGTCACTGTCCCCTCCAGGGCTGTAGCTCCCCAAAGGGTCCTTCGGAGGTGCTAGAAGTGTCAACTCAAGGTCTGGATGAGGTGGGAGGGACGGAGGACCCAGGCTATCCTGCCCTGAGCCAGGTTTGTTTACAGGGCCCTGGTTCCTCCCTCTCACCTCAGTCTCTTCTTGAAGAACCCCTCCACAGGGCCCCTGAAGAGGGCCCGGCCCGGCCCCACCTGGGAGTTCACGGTCCTGGGCCACAAGTCCCCAGGCCACACAGCGTGCCATTGGAGCACCGTGGGCCGCATTCTGGGCGAGGCCCGCACACAGCCCCGGAGCTGAGGGAGTGTCTCTTGCCCAGACCCCATGGACTGGAGTCCTGGCAACGTGCAGAAGTGGCTCTTGTGGACAGAGCACCAGTACCGGCTGCCCCCCGTGGGCAAGGCCTTCCAGGAACTGGGGGGCAAGGAGCTGTGCGCCATGTCAGAGGAGCAGTTTCGCCAGCGCTCACCCCTGGGCGGCGACGTGCTGCACGCCCACCTGGACATCTGGAAATCAGGTTGGACACAGCGTGGGTGGGAGCAGCCCCTTCCCAGCTCCAAGCCAGGGACCCAAGGGGAGCTCAGGCCAAGCTGTCTGCTGGGAGGTTACCCTCCGCTGTCCTCCGCTGTGGACCCAGGGGGGCAGCTGCCTCCCTGGAGCCCGGGTGACCGCCAGCCCCGGCCAAGCCCAGAGGACACAGGACAGAGCACGTGGGAAGTTAGGAGGTAGAAGTTAGACAGTGAGTACGTGGGAGGTCACAGCTGATGGGACCGTGGATGCTACAAAGCCCTTCTTTGTCCCTCTAAAATGTCATTTGTTTTTTTCAGCTGTTTTGGAGAAGTAATGGGGTAATAAATGTGTACATTTTTTAACTTAGTGAAATTAGTATATTGTAAAACGTAATTCTTCCTCTCACTCCAGATCCCCAGCTTTCCAATCCCCCTTCCTGGGGGCAACTGCTGTCATCTGTTTCTTGGGAAGGTTTATGCGATACAAGAAACTATACATGTGTGGTTCTTTCTCCCTTTTTTGAAAAACACGGACAGTGTCAGAGTATACCGTGTTCCGCACGTAGCGGTGACCCTGTGACCCTGTGACCCTGTGACCCTGATCTCGTTCCCCACCGGGACGCAGACAGCGGCTCCCGTTCTTTTGAAAGGCTGCGTGCCCACCCACCTCCATCGCACTGGTGCCCTGCACCGAGCAGTGTGCTCTGGAGGAAATGCCTGCTCAGTGGGTCAAGGCCCCTGACCTTAGGGGCCCTGGTGAACAATGGGCCGGACCTACTCATATGACCCAGTCAGAGACCAGTGCCCTGCCCCACCAGGCTCCTTGTCAGTGACTACGATGAGCAGTGGTCGGTACCAGGCTGAGTGCTGGGTGTCGACGGGGCTGGAAACTGGTGGCCTTCACCCCCACCACTGCTTGGTCTGGGACAGGGGAGACAGGGAGGGGGCTGGGCAGAGAGCAGGGGGGTTAGAAGTGCTGGGCAAACTCGGCAGCTGGAGGGCAGTGGGTGTTCATTATGCGGGACACTGAACAAGGTGCTGTGCAGACTTCCTAGGACCCTTGCAAGTTCTGTGAGGACATGTCCTGGCCCCATTTCGTAGGTGAGCAAGGCTCCCCTTCAGCTCTTCCCTCTGAGCAACAATGGGGCTGCTTCCAGGCCTATGAAGGCCCCTCCCAGCTCTGAAATCCCAAATTTCCTTCAAGGAAGCAGCTACAGACTGGCAGAGGGAGGGAGCCATTGGGAAATCTGTGCCATAGGGGGGCCTCTGTGGCCCCACAGTCCCACCAAAATGTCCTCCGTCCCCTTGGGGTCTCTCCCGGGTCCCCAACCTCCTTTCTTTGTCCTGCAGCGGCCTGGATGAAAGAGAGGACTTCCCCTGGGATGGTCCACTTCTGCGGTGAGCAGGGCAGGACACCCGGGGGTCGGGCTCTGAGGTCGAGGGGTGGCTGCCAGGGAAGCAGGGGTGGCTGCAGTTCCCCACTCACCGCCACCCTCCCTGGCTGCCCAGCCTCGGCCAGCGAGGAGAGCTGGACGGACAGCGAGGTGGACTCGTCCTGCTCTGGGCCGCCCATCCACCTGTGGCAGTTCCTCAGGGAGCTGCTGCTCAAGCCCCACAGCTACGGCCGCTTCATCCGGTGGCTCAACAAGGAGAAGGGTGAGTTGGGCGCCTGGCGGGCGCCCTGTGGGGCCGGAGCCGGGACCGGGACCGGGAACGAGGGGGCGCCGAGGGCCGAGGGGGCTGCCTGGGTTCCTAGCAGGCACTAGGCCCTGAGAGGGGCTGGGGCTGGGCAGAGGGGCGGAGCTGGCCCTCGCCTTTGCCCTGAATGACAGATGTGCTGCTGTCGCTGGACCCACTCAGGGTGTGTGCAGTTTGTGCCCATGTCTGTCTGTCAGTTTGCTGGCCAGGCTCTGTCTTGTTCAGGATCCCCAGGGCCACACAGTGCCTGGGACATAGTAGGTGTCTGACATTCTGCTAAGAATGCGGCACAGTCTTTGCCCCCAAAATATCATAGCTTCGCCTTGGCTGGCGTGGCTCAGTAGGCTGAGTGCCGGCCCGTGAATGGAAGGGTCACCAGTTCGATTCCTGGGTTGTGGGCCAGGTCCCCAGTTGGGGGCGTTTGTTTGCACATCATGATGTTTCTCTCCCCGTCTCCCTCCCATCCCCTCTCTAAAAAATAAATAAAGTCTTTAAAAAAGAAAGAAACTAGCTTCACAGGGAGACTGATGCCGCCCAGTGGGAAGTGCAGTGCAAGCCACACAGTGTGGCCTCAGGTTTTCGAGCACCACATTAAAAACATTCTAAACAGGTGACATCAACTTTATCAATAATTTTACTTAACTCTCTATCATAATGTATTATAATTTCAACATGCAACAAATATACAATTTCTAAGTGAGATATTTTACTAAGTATTTGAGATCTGATGTGCACTTTACACTTAGACACGCCTCCTTTTGGACTTGCTACATCGAGTGCTTGAGAGCTCCCTGTGGCTAGTGGCTGCTTCCCTGGGCAGCGTGTGTGTGTGTGTGTGTGTGTGTGTGTGTGTGTGTGTGTGTGTGTGTTCGCAAAGGCTCAGAGCCAAGAAATCTGGGTTCTAAGCCCCATCTCGTCATTAGCAGCTCTGGGTGCCTGGATCTCAGCCTTCAGATCCATTCACCCGACAGCTGACACCTCCTTCCGCACCACATTTGCTCGGGGGGGCATTTACAAAGAATCACAGTGCCTTGGGGGTTCAGGGACAATTCAGCTGTACCCAGTCCTCAAGGGACCTGCCGTCTTGTACGGGAACTCGCAGTAAAATGGGCTGGTATGCAGAGAATGTTGGGGCTGCGAAAGCACCGTGGGGGCAGCTGTGCCCAGGTCAAGGAGGACTTCATGGAGGAGGTGATTCTGAGGCTGAGGGTGGAGGATGAGAGGGGCTAGAGGAGTGGGAGAGAAGCTCCTGCACAAGGTGTGATGACTGTGTGTGGAGGTAAGACAGAGAGTGAAGTAGCTGCTCCCCCGGCCCTACCGTGCCCTCGGGAGAAGGCCCCATGGTAGAGTTCCAGGGAAGGGAGGACCGAGAGAGCGCGGCGGCCTGGGAACGCTGCCTGAAGGGGCTGCGCTGACCTGGGCCTTGCCAGGAGGGGTTAATACTGGGGGCATGAACAATGCAGCAGTCCTTCCCAAGGGGCACTTCCTTCAGACTCCGCACTAAGCACTTCCTATAACCACTCAGCCCCCACTTATCCACAGGAAAAAGGGGCCTTAGACGGCTTCTAAAGGTAGAAAATGGCAGGGCCAGGTTGCAAACCCAGGTTGGCCCAGCTCCAAACCCACTCTTTCCACCACCTCCCCTGAATTAAGTCTGCTGGCAAGGGCTGTGTGAGCCGAAGCGTCTGAGAATGGCAAAGAGGTCTTTCAGGCTTGGGAACTGCGGGGCGGCGGGGTGGGGGGTGACCGTGCCAAGTGAGCTGAGGGCACAGCTGGAGCCCCGCTCGGCTTCTGTGTGAGGTGCGCAAACCCCACAGCAGGAGCCGGGCTGGCAAGGGCCAGGCCCTCAGGGCCCCAAATAACCCACTGTGGTACTCAGGCTCACTCCGCACCCAGGGGGTTCAAGCCTCTGTACTGTTATTTACCACTTACCAGGACCTGTGGCACGCTCCTTGCATGCATTTCTTTGGCCCTCACACTGAACTTGGGAGTAGGCATTATGGCCCCCACGGCCTGGCCCTCCCCCCAGGACACTGGCTGGCTCGGCTTTCAAAGACACTGACTAAGTCTCGGTCTTTCTTCCTCTGGCTGCTCCCTACCTGCACGCTGGTTGTCTCTGGGCCCTCCTGCTCCCCCAGGCATCTTCAAAATCGAGGACTCCGCCCAGGTGGCCCGGCTGTGGGGCATCCGAAAGAACCGCCCCGCCATGAACTACGACAAGCTGAGCCGCTCCATCCGCCAGTATTACAAGAAGGGCATCATCCGGAAGCCGGACATCTCCCAGCGCCTCGTCTACCAATTCGTGCACCCCATCTGAGGGCCGCGGGCCAGGCCCGGGGCTGAAACTCACCCTTCCCTGACCTCCCTCCTGCCTGCCCCTGTCTGAACCAGACCCTGAGCTGGGGGAGAGACAGTGTGCCAGCATTCGGTGTCCAAGGTCAGGGGGCATGGCCCAATGCTCCCAGGAGTGTAGCGAGCTCTCTGGGGCCAGAGAGCCCTTCCTCCTCGGGCCAGACTGTTCATGCCCACCCACTGCAGGATGAAGGGAGACAGGGCTGTCCTCAGTGTTCACAGCTCCCCAGGGAGGGCGCTTCCTCCACACCAGCCTCTGACCTCAAGCATTTCTAGAACAGACCTAACAGAATGGCAGTGACTGGTCCAGGGCCACTCGCAGTCCAGCGCTCTCCTCCACTCAGTCTGCACCATGCCTGGCATGGTGCTAGGAGATGTCTGCGTCCCCGAGTTGGGGAGACAGGGGTGTCCCTGGGAATGGGTAATAAAGATACTGGAGAACTGACATGGCCCCAGTGTCTGTGCAGTGAGTGAGCGGCACAGCACAGAGCCAGCAGTGCTCACAGGGGTTCTGGTCACAGGGTCGTGGGGGTAGTCAAGGGAGACTTCCTGGGGGAGGTGGCATTGAACTGAACCTAAAAGGAAGGGAACGACTGATTGGTAGCTGTTGTGGGAAAGTGACAGTGAGTCCTCAAGTCCAAAAAGGGGCTGGAATGGCCCTTGTCTCCCCCAACTCTGGTGTGGGCTGGGAGGAGGGAGCGGCTGGGCCTGATAACAGTCTATATTTACGAGTGCAGAGAAGGCAGGTCCTTGGTCATCCTCTTGTTCTGCCTGGAGTGGGCCAGGGTCTGGCCAAGAGCCCTTGACTCTGGCCAACCGCAGGGGCTCTGTGCTGGGGCAGCAGGGGCGTGGCCGAGGGCGGGTGCTTCAGTGCCCCTCGTGGGACACCGGCTCTGCTTGCTCGAGGAGCCTCTCTCCTGAAGAGGGAGGTCACAGACCTCAGTCGTGCCCTCTTTGAAACTGTGAGCCCCGTGAATGGGTTGTGAGGGTGTGATGGGGAAGGGGTATGGTCAGAGTGTGTGTGTGTGTGTGTGTGCTGGAGGAGATGGGACCCACTGCCCACTCTCCTGGGTAAACCAGCCCACTCAGCTTCCTCATGCTTCCCTTGCATCTGTTCACCGAGCTCAGGAACCCTGAGGACTGACTGTGTGCTTCCACTCCAAAATTAGGGGTTATCCCATTTTTCAGATGATGAAATGGAGTCTCAGGGCAGTTGACTTGCTCGCACACAGCCAGGCAGTAGTAGAACCAAGAACCGAACCCACCAGGACAGGGCTCTCCCCGCTTCCGGACTGGTCAGTGCCCTGAGCCTCCGTAACCCTCACCTTCTGAGGACAGGCTTCCAGGAAATGAGACGGGAGCCAGCCAGCGCTGCCCAGACCACTGAGGGTTAAGTGCTGCTCAGTACTGCTGCCTTCTGCCCTCCTCAATTTTATTGTCTTCGGAAGAAAGTTTAGTCCCGGCAGTGAGCAAACAGCACCTTGGCACCTGTCAGCTGGAATTGGGCCCGAAGAAGGAGGGGGCCCTGCTGTCTGCCCACCCCCTGAAAGGGAACAGGTGGAGACCCTGGCAAGAACCCAGCTTGGCTCTGCTGAACTGGTTTTGTTTTCCCGCTGGCCATCCTGCCCCCAACTTGGTCGCTGGAGCCACCTGCTTCCACATCCCCAGGTGGGCCTGAGTCTGGAGAGGCCTCAGATCTCAGGTCGGGGCTGGGAGTGGGGAGGGGAATGGATGCCTAGAAGTGGGGAACTCCGGAAAGGGGAGCCGGGGGAACAGGGTAGGGCGGCTTCCTGCTCCGAGAATCTGCCCCAAGGCACGCATCCCCTCTGGGGCACACACCCATCTAGCGACACCTGTGTGCGGCAGCAAACTCCAGCTCCTCCTCTCCCCACATCCTGACGGGCCCGCCTGCCCTAGGCGTTCCTTGACCCTCCTCGTGGACCCGCACCTGGGTCCCCTCATCATGGCATGGAACAGCTTGTGCAAATACATCAAGGCGACATTTTGGGCTCATTTGAAGTCCTCCATTTGGCTAAAATCAGGCTCTTGTCATTGGAGGTGGATTTGATGGAGAAAGGTTATGTAGTGGAGAACAGATTCAACCTCCACTTGACCTTTTCTCCCTGCCCTGCCTGGGACTGTGGACAACCGGGTACCACTGGCCTTAGCAATCACTTCTAGAATTTTGCTTTAAAAACTGAAGCCTGTTCAGGGGTCAAATTCACCCTTGTACCGTGAGTGTGGGACCCCGAATGCCCCAGCTTTCCTGGTCAGTGCTCATCGCCAGGCACCAGGGGCCTTGACGGCCACTTGGGAACTTCGGAGAGCACCCAGAGTGACCCTTCATGCACGGACAGGACCCGGGCCCTGGGAGGGAATGGCCAGCCCTTAGTACCCAGCCCGCTGGTGACCATCCAGGACAGGTGTCCTGGGCACTCCTTCCCCACCCGACATCCTGCCCACAGGTAACTCTCAGGGGCCTCAGAAGACACACGACTCAAGATGACAATGTCCAGCCAGGTTGACAGTTCCGGGTTTTATCCACAGTCATACAGTCACAGCCTATATATATATATTTGTATTTATATACCTTTAAATTACACAATCATGTACAAAACAGGTGCATTGCTGAGACCACAGCACTTCTCGGAGTTTCACAAGTGTCGGACTAATGGAGTCAGGAAGCCGAGGGCGGCAAAGGGCGGCGGCAGGGCGGCCCTGGCTCCTGGCAGAGCCAGGCCGCAGAACGGTGGTTAACTTAGGAAGAAACACATCACTCACTGAGCCCTGCAGAGAGGCCTGTGCAGCATCAAGGGTGTGGGCAGGGGGCTACAGGAGGTGGTGGGCTCGGTGAGGGGCAAGGGCCCCCGCACTTGATGCTGAACACCCTGACACCAGCACTGACAGGTGGGCCTGGGCCCCGGGAGCTCAGGGGGTCTTCCAGGTGAGACCCTCCACACTGGAGTCCGAGGAGCCCGAGGACCCATGGCTTAGAAGGAATTGGGTTTCAAGTCCCTGCCCCAGAGTGGGCAGCTGGAGTGCTGAGGGGGACAGCCAGTCACTGCCCCTCCCCAGGTGCTGGGAAACCGCTGGCACAGTCAGAGGGAGCCCAGGCTCCAAGGTGCAGACAGGGCGGCTGCCTGACTTCCAGCAGTAGGTGGTAAAGGGCCCTCACCTCCACCTCCTGCTTGGAGGAGAGGCAAACGGGGCTTTTGTTCTGGCATGGGAAGGGCTGAAGTTCTCCAAAATCTTGCTCCAGGCCCTTAGGGGCCCACAGAGCAGTGGTAAGGGGGAGTGTGCTGTGGAGGAGAGTCTGCCGTCCCTAGAGGTGCCCTTGTCCCCACCCCACCCCCAACTTCCCTGGCCTTGAGCGAGGCCTGTCCCAGCTCCAGTCCCTGCCCGAGTATGCCAGGATTCTCTGTGCCACGTGAACAGGGTCAGGGCTTTGAGGCTGGGGCCTGTGACCTAACAGGAGACTGTGGGAAGAAAAAGCAAGGAGCAAGAGGCTGATGGGTGACAGAGGGTCTGGGGTAGACACTGTCTTCACCTAGAGGCCCAGGGCCAGGTGACAGGGGAGGGAGCAGGGTGTCTGAAGCCATGAAGCAGCACCGCCATCAGGCTCACCTGGTGCCAGGCTCACCTGGTGCTGCAGGAAGTCTCAGGGCCTCACCGCAGAGGTTCCAGGAGATTCCTCTTCCAGCCCGGCCCTCGCTCGTCGGGACCCAGCCACCCTGCCCCCACTGCCATGAGAGAGGCTGGTCCTTGGAGTGATCCAGGGCCACTTTCTTTCACCAGCCGCGGGAAACTCTGCTGCTCTGGGCAGGCCCCTTGTCTCCTCCTACCCCAAAGTCCTTAAACTGAGACCCGGGCCTGCAGAGATGGGGCAGGGGCGGCGAGGGGGGTGCTGCCAGCAGGGGGGATGTTGCTCCAGGGCCAGGATGTGGTGATGGAAGGCAGAAGGCAGACAGATGGGGTGACTGCCCTGCGCCTGAGGGCCAGGGCTCCCCCCTCCTGCCATTCCCACGCCTCTCCTATTGGCTGCAGGCCTTCCCTGATGCTCCCTGACTGGAAGCTCCCAAGGGTGTACCCCCAGGCAGGCCAGAGAATGGGAGGATGAATGGGAGACCCCAAAGCGTGACCTCCTGAGGGCCGGCTGAAGCTAGTGATTCTCCAGCTTCAGATGGAAGTGGAGGGAAGGAGGGTGGGGCAGTGGGGAGGGAAGAAGGGGTGAGTGAGTGAGCGAGATGCCCCCCTCCTCAGGAAACAGGAGGGGGGTGCTACTGTTGCTGGCTTTGCCCTGTGCTCTGGGGCCCCTCCCCCTGCCCGAGGACTTGTTAGGGGTGGGTGGGTGGTGACTCTATAGGTACTGAAGGGTATGTCTCTGAGACAGAGCCCAGGCCTGAGGTGCAGGGAGCTGGAAAGAAGGGCCCTAGCAGGGTCCCGGTCCCTCAGCTGAGCCTGGGGTTGGGAGGTCTGAGGGCCAGCTCCCCCTTCACACACCATCCTACACCACCGTGACTCCGTCAGCTACTCCAGTTCAACCCTGTTCACATTTAAGGGAGTCGAGGGGCACCTGGAAACCTCTGCGGGGGAAGAGGGTGACTATTCCTCTCCCAGAGGGTGGGGCCAGGGAAGAAGGACACTCCCCGGGCACAGTGGAAGACGTAGCACTGGGAGGCCCCTGGTCCGGGGTTGGAGGGGAGGCCTCTGAGAGTAAGTGGTGGTGAAAGGGGAGAAGGCGGGGCAGGAGGAGGTCAGAAACCGCGGTGGGGGAAGGGGGTGGGGCAGGTGCTGGCAGCCAGGGGTGGAGAGGAAAGGGGTGGGATGGGGGCACTGAGGCAGAATAAAAGGGTCAGGGAGATGTCTCTCAGGGCTCAGGAGACTTTTCGGTGGGATCTAAAGAGCGGATGTTGTGACGTCTTCGTTGGGCTAAGTCCTAAGACCCTCGCCTACCCAGGGACCATTGCCGCAAGTGCCGCTAGTCTGGCCTCTGGGGGCCCTGCAAGTGCTCCGTCTCTTTGTATTTTTTGTTGTTTTGACTTTTAAAAAAATAAAAGCTTGATCGGAAAATATGTCTGGAACTCTATGGCCAGGGAAGGTGACGAGAGTGGGAAGGGAGGGCAAGGGGTGGTGTGGGGGGGAGCACGGCAGCTAGATGGCCTCCACGTAGTTGGCGGGATAGAGGCCAAACTGCCCGCTGTCCAGCCGCCCGCGGCACCAACCCTGCTCGTCCTCCTCGCCCAGCTTGGTGAGCTCGTCTCCTGGGAAGGGGACACAGAGAAGATCCTTGACAGGGGCTCAGAGAGGTCTGTCCCTCTACTCCCACACTGCTAGGTAAGCGCTCCAATACTATTATGTTAGACTGACTCCTAA